ACTTTTCCACGACATTCTAATTTATTGAGATGCACCTGTATAGCCCACTAAAATATTGGCTATTCGAACCAAATCTACTCTTAGTATTTGTATAGGCCTACTTGTTGTTTTGTTTTGTTTTTTACAGCCCGTGATAATTTATACATTACAAAGCATTGTAAAAATAAAAAATTAGACTGCCTTATAAAGGAAAAAAGTCATCCCACTCCTCTACGTCTACTTCTATCATCGCTTGGATTCAATCCCTCATAGAAGAAAAATCACGTTCAAAAAGAAGGCGCGTGCGGAGGGGGCAGAATATTTGACAAATTATGCTACAGCACTTATATTTTTGCACTGATTGGCTATTAACTGTGAGCAGACAGAGTGTCAGTCAATGCATTGGAGAATACAGTGAACATAAATGAAAAGAAACGAAGTTGCTTGTCAGGTTTTCCTAACAAGTAATCATATTTTTAAAAATAAGACCAAAAAACCGCGACCCGGGATTTTTTTCATGCAACTTTACAAAAAAAGAAGCCCAAAGTCACGTATAATACGCGGACTTGGCAACTCTGCTTACTACTATTTTTTTTTTAGCTTTCACTCCACACAGAACAAGCTTTCTCAACTGAAATAGTTCCTTATGCGCCACCTAGCATATAGCATCAACATCAAAGCAGATAGATAGATAGATAGATAGATAGATAGATAGATAGATAGATAGATAGATAGATAAGCGTTTGAGCTTATATAGTTTTAACATTGGAAAAACACTGTCACCACTGTTAATGAAGTGTTTTATGCTTATGCTTTGACTTTTTAAAAAGTCGTGCCAGTTAGTGGAGTTGAAGTTAGTGAAAAGCTAAGTGAGAGAGTTTTTTGCCATTGTAATTTATTAAATACAAAGCTCAAATTCTTAAAGAATTTATTTTTATTTGCCAAAATTTCATAACATTAACATATTAGATTAAAATTGTATGTACTGCATATGCTGTGTATTGCAAACATAGCTTGCATACAAGTAGTATGGCAGTAGACCATTCTGAACTTAGTCAGTGTTTCAGGAAGGAAGCTGTGGTTCAAATTATGAGTAACCAGCTCCCCCCAAATTCAATGGGCTCTACCATATTGTCATCCGTGTGTGATTTCTGGACCGTTTCTATCTAGCTTAGGATCTGTCCATGTCAATTTGAATAGAAACGTATAATTATTGTGTGTTTTCAAACGTTTTCTGGTATTCAATACATTCAGAGTTCAACACTGAATTTTAAGATTTCTTTTTTTAAATATAAACTTTCTAACACGTTATAGATTTAACACTTGTGGACTGGATATATCACGCCATGATCCTCACACGTGTAACCTGACACTGATGGGGGATTGTGTGTGTGTGTGTGTGTGTGTGTGTGTGTGTGTGAGTGTG